CATAAACATTCACGTGCAACATTAATAAACGTTTTGTTTGCTTAATTCTGGGAATTTTACTAAACCTTTCTAATAATTTGGCACGCTCAAATCACCGTGCTGATAACAAATATGGCGCCAGTTTGTTTACATTGCGCAGATCAGTACGAAATTTTCAGTTATTGCGCAGATCAATGTTGCCAACATTTTGTGAGAATTTTGTATGAATTGATTGGACGGTTTTTGAAATATTAGAAAAAAAGTTATCTTGATAATAATTTGGCACGCAATGTATAAGCAAAAGCTGCCCAGTCTTCATACTCAATAGAGTCCAAAAGCATCTGTCTCTTTGTGGGTGATGAATTATTTTCCACCCTACAACCACTTTCCCACAGAATAAATCCTGCAAGCTACTCACTGCTCTATTGCTGTTTCCATGGAAAGTGTTCAGAACTACATTCCTTAGGTCCACCATTTCTAACCTTCATGGCTAAAACCTGCCATGATACACACATTCCATTTGTATTCCATTGGTCTGATGCAAGGTTCACTTAAGCAGCTTCTTCCCACAAACCACTACTTTGTGAAACTGACTCCCAAGAGGATGCTTCCCCAATCACTACAATCTTAGCTTGTTCAAGTCTAGAGTTAACCATTATCTTCTCTTTATATTCCCATAAACTGTGCTTCTTACTCTGTTCTTGAGTGGCTCTTGTATTTTGTACAGAGTGAACATCATTAAAAAAGAATTTTTGATTTCCATGTTGTGAAGAATTAAAACTATTGCTACAATACCATTCAAGATCAGCTTCTCTCACAGTTCACAACTACTTGATATCTCCCCACCCACTTTTTGTCGAATTCCATCAAAGACAATTTCTCTTCTTTCTTTCAAAAAAAGTTTGCTTTCACAGTGTAATATTGCTCTAGACGGTTTCTGATACCTCTGACCAATTTTTCTCCAAGTGGACATAAATTTTAAATCTTGAATATCTTGCATGGTCTATCAATCTTTAGATGAAGGGACTTGAATAGAAGCAACCATCTCCTGCATAATTGCAGTAACAAGACCATTTACATTTAACTGAACTACAAGATCCTGATCCCTCTTGTTAAGCCTGTGCTGCCTGACCTATAGGGATGTTTCCTATATTTCTCCATCTAGACACTCTCCTCTAATGTCATTTACACTGCTATTTATGCTTCTACCTTGTTTTTGTTGAGTCATTTACTAAAATTCCTTATAAATGGCCTAATCTTGGTTTTCAAAATTTGGGCGTTATTTTTTCTTGGAGGTAACCATAATTCACAAGTTAAATTGAAAATTCCAGTTGCATTTACTATGAATGCAAATATATGCTGAAGGTAACACCGATCAACTAAGTGAAAAATTTTATAATTGTAAAATATTCTTAAAACACTAGCAATATGATTTTTTACATATCTTTTGGCATGGTTTTACTTTAAAATCATAAGCTATTCTTTAAATTTGAACTGAGATTTTGCAGTTGGATTAAAATGTTACAAAGTCTAGCCATATTGTAGCACAGGTAAATGAGAAATTCTCAAAATTCTTCTTACAGTAAATTTTTTGTTCTAATATTGTAAATATTCCTACATAATTCTGAAGGGAAGTCAGGCAATGAGCAAGCAACTTAGCATTACTCATGGATACCTGATCACATGAACATCATCATGCCTTGAAAAAGAAATGTCAAGATTGTGTGCAAAATAACAAAACAAATCATAGAGAATAAGTGCAATACATCTACTGGATTGTTGTTAAACATGTATAACCTGCTCATGCTTGTGAATTATTTTCATGATGGATTCATCAAATTGTGTAGGACCATTATTCATCTCAAAGGATGATGATTATTCCTTTTTTAAAGGACAATGTGTGTATGACTGGTTTTTGTATATCAGTGCTTACATGATCATGAATTGTACATCATTTTAAGAGATAGCTTAGATTTCATAGAGTGAATACATTACTGAAGAAATAGAAACTGTCGATGAATTCATTTGGTAACAAATATCAGTATATGTTGGTCACAAGAGGTTAGCTGACTTTATCTGCAATTCTGTTTTTGCTTTGTAACACCTAAATTTGCAACAGCTACCCACTGAAGAAGAAAAGTAGAAACACAAAGTATAAAAGCAACAATGATGAGAATATTAGTCTGAACAACTTATAAAATGATGACAACAGTGATATAGAAAGGTGGGATCATGGGTCTGTGGCCCCGAGTAGCATTCCCTGTGGGGGCACTTCTGATTTTTGTTACACAAAGGCAGTGGTAAGGAAGAAGAAACATAACTTTTTATTTTTATTTAGCAAATACACCTAAAATTAGATATTAAAAATAAATAAAATAGTTTTTAATTTTAGTTTTAAAATGTCTATATTTGGCTGCTGGTAGTACTGATAATTCAGCCAAACCTGTGAAGAAAATTTTAGATAGGGTTCAAATGATATCAGTTTGTTTTTAAAAAAAGTCTCCAAAAGGCATTGTTTGGTAGTGGGGATGTGATCAATTTGGGTTGGTCATTAAGTATACCATGTGTTACCCCATCCCCCTTAGTGTTTTGTGAGTACCTACTTGAATCCATAGTTTTTTACACCTATATTTACTGTCGTTTCTGTTTGTGTTGTGCTGGGGACTGGTTGTCCATTCCAGTCTACCCATTCTGGAAACATCTGTTGGAATGTACATAAGGGGAGTGTATTTCCTCTGCACCTGTGTCCACCTTGGCTTTTAAGTTGTGTACATCTTTTCTGTTCGGTAATATTATGTCCAGTGTGGTAAATGCCTCAGTCAGTTCTCTTTTCCGTGCTTTTCCATAGCATAAAAAGATATCTTCTTGAAGCTGTCCTCTATTTAGTTGTGAGCATGAATGGACTTCTGATGTTGATTTTGATATATATTGGGTTGTGCTGGTGTGGATTTTTGGTGTTTCTTAGTCCAGTTTGTCTGTGGCTGTCTATAAGTTTTTCTCTTGACTTTTCTGTTGTGACACATCTTAAACCAGTGGTTCTTCCATCCACATGCTGAGCAAATACTGCCTTGAGCAGGGCGTTTCTCATTTTCATGTGTAAGCCCATATTTACAACAATTATCTATATTTTGGGGTCTGTGTTTTATTACACTGATTTTGCTTTTCCCCTGTAGTTCACCCATTTGTTTCATGTAGTTAATTGAAGCATTTTGGATCCTACAAATGTTGAGCACTTCTTGTATGGACATCTCGTTTTTGCTGAGTAGGTCTGGATATTTAGTTCTCATAATAATCTGGTCAATTATTTGCTCTTCTGTCTCCCGGTCGTCTCTAAACTTGCATTTTTGCACTTGAAGCTTATATCTCACAAGGAAATCGTCAATATTTTCTGTTTCCTTCTGGGAGTATTTTTGCATGCAATCCAGAAGTTTATGGCTCTATTTGTCTGAAAAAATTTTGCCAAATCACTGCTGGGTTGCATCTGTCAGCCTCATTTTTGAATGTCCATGACTTGTAATGTCTTAAACCCACTATTCCTGATAGTAAAAAAATGTTGTCTACTTGTTTGTTTTCTGGTATGCCCTTTACGAAGAAGTACAAGTTTCACTGCTGTTGGAAAAATTTGAGGGATTCCACCAGACGTTTTCTAGCATATCAATGGTCCACTCATATTAAATGCATGTGGTGGCTTCCTTGGGTTTTGCGAGCTGGTGCCAGCTTTAAAAACCGCTATCCTGTTCTCCATTTCAGTTCACTGTAGAATTCTGGATTCTTTTTGCAGTTTCATCCCATCACTGCCATCATGTCATAGTATTCGTTCTATTAATAGCATGCTTAGTAATAAGTTGAAAGAAGAAACAAAGACGCGTATGTACTCATACAGGGGTAGCCATCTCTCTGCCACCACCTATATCTTTATTCTCCAACTTCTATCTACAGGGAGGTAACTCCAGTCATACTATGACAAGCTTATCTTCATAGTCATCAGGCAAATGCTGGGCTATGGATGTTCTACTAATAGATATATCAAACCTCTTCATAAAAAGAAAACACCAGTTTGCTGAAGCTTTAAATGTGTCTCCAGGATACATGGTTTTAATAAGTTCTTTTGCTTTCATCCTTATTTCCACAGTACTTATGGAACATCCACTTGATCATCTTTCTTTCACAAATTCAACTGAACTTTGTTCCATATCTGGATATTGTGCTTTTCTTCCTTTACTTATAGCTTTGGCACTGGATTTACACATTTTTACTTCATTTTTATTCTTTCTCCATAAATGTTTAGTTAGCTTCATTTAACTCATATTCTCTAGTTGCAGCTATGTTTCCTATTCTTTCTACTAATTCTATTACTTTTTGTTTAAAATTTTCACTATAACTCGCATGTTTTGACAACATTTTGGCAGTAAAATAAAATCATTTATTTATCAGGAAAACTGCATGGTAATTTTCAACATTATTTTACACACTTTTCACTTTTATTCTCAATGTCAAGGTCAACAAAATGTCTTGTAATTATTTTTGGTTTTTTTTGACAAAATTTATAGATGTGTATTATACATAGGGATAAATATATTTCTTAATTTTGGGATCATTTGTTGGGTTGCGCATTATTTATGAGTGCATAATATTTTCAAGAAATTACAGTAGTATACTGTTGCAATTTTGTTGGAGTGTAGAGGTTACCAGTCACAATTTGTGCTACCAGACCCCTGCACGACATTGAATGTCAATAACCAATCTCAGAATTTCAGACAATTTCAATTTTTCTTTTCATAAACTTATGAGATAAAGAATATTTTTTATCACATAAAAATTTTATTTGAAAGCAATTGTTTATATTTTTACATTGTTTTTAACATTTAAAATAAATATCACAAGACAAACATTACCATAAAGATGTAGCCAGATTCAGTATATTTCCAAACTCACTTGTATAAAATGAATTTCTCTTTGAATTCTTCAATAATAAGGATATACTCTTCTCTGAAATATCAAATTTTAATTAATTTTTTCAGTCCCATAAAATACTCAAAGAATGATCATTCATTGAAAGGTCGCCTTAAAAGAATATTCATCCGTGACTCAACTGCACGTGAGTATGAAGTCAACAATTTGTTTCTTTTTGCAATTTTATCACTGAAATTGACTTTAGGAATTATAAAAGAATAGATATTCTCTTATAATTTGAAAACTATTTAAGAGTTTTTCATTTTTAAACATATATATCTGAAAATCAGCATTACATTTTCAAAATATCAGGACTAAATATCGTATAAAAATTTTTCACCCAAGTTTTTGAATAGGAAAACTTTGAAAACTTTGAATTCTTTTAAAATAAAAATATTGTGCCAATGATAATTACTCCATCACTTCATGAAAAATGAAAACTCTACTTTCCATTTTCAGTTTTTGCTTGTTTTTGGTTTACATTTTATTTTCAAGTAACGACAGTGAATAGTCCACGTTTTTTGGCAAATGACATGATCAAAAACACAACAAAAATTCTGCATCAACAACAATTATTAAAAGTATGATTATTAAAATTATATAGCCAAATCCATCACAGTTATTAACATTATTGATTTCAGTCATGTCCCTTGAAGGAAAAATATGAATTTATTTTATTAAGTAACAAATATCACAAATGAAAAAATATCCATATATATATATATATATATATATATATATATATATATATATATATATACCCTATTCATATATTATACACAATTACAACCACAACTTATTTTATGATTTGAGGTGACCTTTACCCCAAGTCCAAAGCTGCAGCTTCAGCCTCTTAGCTAACTCCAAAAATTAAATTTTCAACAGGAACTCTTGAAAATGTACCCCCAAAAGACTCCCATTGAATTGAAACAATAAATGCCTAAACATAATACAGACTGATTTTTTTTCCCTACTCATCACCCAGCTACACAGGTTTGGACTTGAATATTTGACCATTCACTGTATAATTTCAATATTCTTTCACATATCTTCTGTTTGTTTTCACATATATTTTCTTTTTTTCCTATTCTCTCTTTCTTTCTTTTTTTATCAATTGCTATCACAGATTCAACTGATAGCCAAACGTTAATGGTTCCATGATCCCAAAACAATCAAAATTTGTGCCATTAATATTTAAATAAATGTGGCAAGTATACTTTACATCATAACAGACAGGCAACATGAATTTACATGCATTTCTATGCATGTAAATTCATGTTGCCTGTCTGTTATGATGTCAAGATGTAAGATGCACAAATACCATAACAAAATTTTAGATAAAAAACATAAAATGTTGCATACTAAACCAAAATACCTCTCAAAAGAAAATCCTTCTTTCAATTCTGTCTCTTTTTGTTTCTTGTTCCGGGCTTTCTTTTTCTACATTTAATCTTTTTCTTATTATATTATTACAAGCCCTTATGTCACTATATTTTTTCTGTAATTTTCTATAATGTCTTTTTTTTCAACTTTTTTTCTGTTACCATTAATTATTAAAATTTACACCTAATCAAATTCTTAGATAGTATCATAAAATGTACATCCCCACTTTGGCGATACCTGAAAACCGATCTCTGAGACGACCAAAGAAGTTATGGATTTGTTTGACAAAAGGTAAGAGCTAAAAGGAAAGAAGCACTCAATTGATAAATCTCAAATGCAGTACCAAAATGTTCATAGAGAGGTGAGGAAGAAGTTACAAGCAGTCAAAGTGGAGTGGATACAGAAGCAGTGCAGAATTGTGTCATTGAGAAGAGCATAAAATCAGGTGATGACAAGAAGGACTACAATACTTTGAAATCCCTCACCAAGACCAGCCAGCCAAGAACAACTGCCATAGATGACAGCATGGAATTTCTGAATAGATGGACCAACTGGACTGTGACAATCTGTGTTACAGTTTTTTGTGTATATACGTTATGTAACTAGTGAGTTAGTCAAAATGACTTAATTCCCTTTATAGTCTACCAATAGAAGGTTGACTAATCAGAAGCCGCAGAACATTGTATCCGTCGTGTATAAAGGCGGCCATCTTTGTTTACGCTACTGGAATGACCAGAGCCAACTTGTCAGGCGAACATGACAGACGGAAGAACTACGCTCTGCTACTTTGCTGCGATATCCACTGCGAACCTGCACTACGCTTTCCTACTGTCTCCGAAATATTCACTGCCAACCTCTGGATTCTATACTCGAAGACGACCAGCATGAAAATGTCTAACATAGGTTATGAGCCCAGATCACGATTTTATTTTGACGGGAATGAATCGAGATATAAATTATGGGAGACAAAGTTTTTTAGGCTATCTCTGAATACAATAACTCCATGACATCATCCTTTGCAAAGTCGACCAGGAGGGGGGGGATGATGATTTTATAAAAATGCGACCGTGTTCGCTGAATTAATACAATTCCTGAACGACAGTAGTTTGTCTTTAATAATAAGAGAGGCCAAGGACAATGGAAGCCGAGCTCTACAAAAATTTGCGTGAATACTATTTGTCAAAAGGTAAGCCTAAAATTATTGCTTTATATACTGAACTAACCGCGTTAAAGAGAAAAGAAAATGAATCAGTAACCAATTATTCTAGCAGAGAATGTCACAAATGTCTTAATATAGCAGGAGAGACTATCTCGGATGGGCTGCTAATAGCCATGATCTTAAAGGGTTTACCACCATTCAAACCATTCACGACAGTTACAACTCAAAAGGATAAACAACTAACTTTCACCGAGTTTAAAATTGCGTTACGTAATTATGAAGAAATTATAAATATGTACCCGCCCACCAAAAAAAAAAATCGAGGCAAAAACGTAATACAACTGGGAACGTCATTTGAAAATTCAGAAAATCAGTTCCTCAAAGCGATCAGACTAGGAATTATGGTATTAAGAACAGGGGCTTTAAAGGCAATTATTACAAGAATTATAAAGGAAGAACCACTAAAAAAAAAGAATGTTGTTTGTTTTCGTTGTGGTAATAATGTCGGCCATGTCCGTGCGAAATGTCAATTTTATACACGGAATGACTTTTGTAAAAATGTAAAAAAAAAAAAAAGATTTTTCGAATGGACGTGCATATGCCTTTTTGTTTGGATTGAGTACTGTGGCCAGTAGTTGTGATTCGTACCTGATCAATTCGGGTGCGACAAATCATGTAATTACAGATGAAACAAAATTTGTTAACTTTGACCCCAATTTTGAGCTCGACTCGCATTTTATCGAGTTAGCTGACGGCACCAGAGCTAATAATTTAGTCTTAAAAAGAGGTGGCGCCTGTATTTATCTGCGAAATACTAAAGGAAATATTTGTAAATGTTTATTTAAAAAAGAAAAAAAAAAGGCTTTATATATTCCTAAATTTAAGATATCCAGACGGAACTGAATTTAATATACAGCAATATGGACGTTTTGTATTATTTGAAAAGTATTAAGTCTGCGAAGACAGCCGCGCACGACTTAAGAACTTGGCATAAAATATTAGGCCACTGTAATAATTCTGATGTTAAAAGATTGCAAGAACATGTCACTGGAATGAAAATTACACTTCCAAATGATTTAAAATATTGTGACACGTGTATTAAAGGGAAAATGACTTAAACTTTGTTGCCGAATATTCAGGGCTTATTATGATATATTTTCTGAAAACAAATCGGATACCCTGCAAGCTACAAAAATCTATTTATCCGATAGCTCCCCGCATGGAAAATTAAAAATAATTCGGACAGATAATGGTGGAGAATTTACTACTGATGCTTACAAAAACCTCCTAATAAATGAAGGCATTAAACATGAGAAAACCTGTTCTTATTCTTCACATCAGAACGGAGTCGCTGAACGCAGTTGGAGGACACTTTTTGAAATGGCTAGATGTTCGTTAATAGAATCTAAGTTACCCAAAAATCTGTGGTTTTATGCATTAAAAAAAAGAAGAAAATATGCATATTTTTGGTACAATTTGCTATACATATGTTGACCACAGGGCGAAACTAGACCCAAAAAGTGAAAGGGGCATATTTATTGGGTATGATAAGCCAAGTCCAGCTTATATGATTTATTTTCCACAAACTAAAACGATAAGGAGGATTAGATGCGTCAGATTTACAGATTCCTTTGAGCGAGGGGAGGAACCCGAAAAAAAAAAGAATATTAATTGCGTGGAACTAGTCCAACCCGAACTAGTATGGCCTAATTATGGGCCTATAAGTAGAAAACCCGTCCAGAGTCCACAATCAGAGGAAGGTATTATACCAGATGATGTATACGAGAAAAATCAGGTGCAAATTCCGCGTTATCCGACAAAAATGGAGGAAAGCCAGACTATTTTGAAATGAATCAATGTAATATTTGTAACATCAACTGTTGTTATGCGGTGCAATGTATCTCAAAGAACTACCAAGAAGCCATACTTTCTGTCAATACCATAGCGAAATAAAAGAAAAATGAAGAAATTTAATCCAAAAATAAAAGAAAAAGAAGAAATTAAAATGACTTTTATTAAGGGACACTTTTTGAATCAAAACGCCCCGGATGATAAAAAATATCATCGGCAGCCGTACTGTAAAGCGAACTGAGGATGGATCGCCAGTCTACAAGGTTCGTTTTATAGCTAACGGATTTTCATAGATATAAAAGGCGGGGGGACGACTTATATAGAAATCTTAAGTCTTAATTGATGATAGAAATATCATCGGCAGCCGTTGGGTTTACACTGTAAAGCGAACTGAGGATGGATCGCCAGTCAACAAGGCTCGTTTTTGTAGCTAACGGATTTTCATAGATATATGGGGCAGATTATAAGAGAGGGGGGATGACTTATGTAGAAACATTAAGTCTTAATTAGAGTTTTGATGCAAATGGATGCCCATTATGATAAGGATATACACCATATGGATGTTAAAGGAGCTTATTTCTGAATGCTACCATCGACTATGAAATATATATGGAACCGCCAGAAGATTTTAAAGAAAGGTGATAATTATGTATGGAAACTTAAAAAAGTCACTATTTGGACTCAAACAGAGTGGAAGAACATGGAATAATTTAATCCATTGTTATTTAATTAGACAATAATTTCAATCTCCT